CTTGGCGGCATCTTAAGGCAGATACCTTGCTCTGTTGTCTTTCCTTGGTCTTCCAGGGCAGGTGCCTTGGGGGCTGCTTTCTGGAAGCTCTGCCACTTCTTCAACCTAATTGAAGATCCAGACCAGCCCCAGCCTCAGCTGCTCCTCTTTCATCTAGACCTTGCTTGGAGGCCAGGGGCTGCAACTTTCTTTTGGCCATGGGGCTTGAACTCAGGGCCTAGGTGCTGTCCCTGAGCTCTTTTGCTCAAGACAAGCGCTCTACCACTTTGAGCTACAGCGCCACTTCCAGTTTTCTGGTGGTGAATTGGAGATAAGTCTCATGAACTTTCCTGCTGGGATGATTTTGAACTTTGATCCTTAGATCTCAGCCTCCAAAATAGCTTGGATTACAGGCATGAGCCACCAGCAGCAGGTTGGGCTGCAGCTTTTGACTTCTTTACAGATACCTCCTGGTCCTAAGAGCCACCACTTTGTCATGTAGCAGGTGCTGGCCATTCCTGGAAAGCACAGTGTGGAGGCTCATCCCTGCCAGGTGTCTGGGGTGACCTCAGTCTTAGCTGTTGTCTTTTTGTGGCCACCAGCTGGGTTGAAGGCATGCATGGGAGAGGGAGTGGGGGGATGGCCTCCTGCTGGTTGGTACACTGCCAAGAAAATTGGCTTTTCTTGGTGATTGTGTCTATGTTCATGCCAGTCTACATGTTTCCTGTGTACTTGAACTTAAGATGTTATCTTGACACAAGCAGACCAAAGGTATGTGCCTGAGTCACACCTAACATCAAAGTTTGTAGCAGAAAGAGAACTTCAACTGGGGAGGTAGAGGAATAGAAAAACATTGGCTAACATTTACTGCATTGCATATTCTAAGTCCTTAACAGACACTGTGCTCATTTTTCACAGTTAGCCTATTAAACAAAGACATATATACACAATTGATTAAACCGGAGCCTAGAGCAGGGATCACACTGGCTAGAAGCAAACCTAGGGCTCTGAGAACAGCAGGCAGGCTCCATCTGCATGGACCTTTAGGGACAGCTCTGTGGAAGTTCTGAGGGTGGCCTCTTCTCACCAGCCTGTGGTATCATCAGCCTTTTTAATTTTAGCCATTTTTGTGGCTGTATTGGTTGCTGTATTGTGGTTTAAATTTGCATGTCTCTAAAGAACGTGAATTTTGAGTCCTTAGCGCACTTATTAGCCCATTTGTAAGTCTTCTTTGCAGAATCTGTTCCAATCATTTGTCCTCACCCTTTTTAAAAAAAATTGACTTACTTGTCTTCTGTTAAAAAGATTTTTTTTTCTAGAGGAAGGATAGTTTTATTATCTACATGTATGGGAAAATTAACATTGCTAAATAGATATTTTTGTAAGTATTTTCCCCCAGCCCAATACACAAGTCTGAAATGATGGTGCATTTTAATTGATATCTTCCTTTATGCTATTGCTTTTCATGTTTGGTCTAATACTTTTGCCTACTGTTTGGAGAGAATCTTGGGGGAAGAACCAGCCCCTCCCCCCAGTCTGCAAGTGACAGGGTAGAATGAGGGGAGGGGAAGTGCAGAGTTTGTTAGAGGTGATGGACAGAGGCGCCATGCAGATGGGGGCTTATAAAGAGAATGCCTTAAATATCAGGAAACTGATCTGGATTTTTCAGGCAGTGGGAGCCATGGAGATTTCTAGAACAAGGAAAGGACAGGATCACAAACAAGTACAGTAACACAGTCTGGGGGAGTGACTCACACTGGAGCCTGGCAGTTTCCATTGGTCATGCTGAGTAGCAGCACCTGGTATCCCACCAAGCTGTGGGGAGAGGGCGTGGCTTCACCTTTGGGATCCTCAAAGACCCAGCAGGCACCCCAGGTTTCCTAGACTCAGGAAGCCCAAGGTCTGCTGTAGGGGCCAGTGAGCAAGCCAGAGGCCCAGCCCTTTCTGGGTTCTGAGGAAGTTGCTTGAACACAGAAACTTAGAGCCAACTTTCCACTGGTTCCTGAGACCGCTGGGCCCGCCTCTTCCCCTCTAGTCTTAGCCCCTCTCACCTCCCCCTCTCCCTGTGGAGTCACTCAAGGTCTGGGAGATTGCCCTTCCTTCTGCCAGGACGTCCTCCCCCAGATACCTCTATCCAGATGTCCAGTTCACTAAACTCACCTTTTTGGGGGGAGGCTTTCCCCACTTCCCTGGTCCTTCTTTTTCCCTCGGCAGTACCTCTCTCCCAGAATGGAAATGTCATGAAGGTTTGGGGGAGGAAACGGTCTCCTCTTTTCCTTCATTTCATTGTGTCCATGCCTGGAAGCTACACCTGTAGGTCCTGGGAAGCTGGTTGTGGCAGGAGTGACTCAGGTGAACTCCCTCATCCCCCCCCCCCCACTCCAAGCCCATTTGATGCTGGGTCAGATTCTACAGGAGAAACCTGGGAAGAGTGCAGGGCCTACCAAGGGCTACTCAGCAGATGATAGAATCTTCTCATCCCTCATCCCCCTACACACACACACACACACACACACACACCATCATATCAATGAAGAAGCCACACACACACACACACACACACACACACACACCATCATATCAATGAAGAAGCCAAGGCCCTGAGAGGATCAGACTTGGACCCTTGTTAGTAACCGAGAAAATGGCGCTGGCTGTCTCACAGCTGGAACAGGATCCTGCCTAGCCTCTGGGGAAGGCCTAAAGCAGAGCCAGGATGTTGATTGAAAGGTGCCTTGTGCCCTCCACATTGCCGTGTTTCCAGGTGGGGCTGGAGGAGCCTAAGGGCCCCAGGATGCCTCTTTGCTGGGTAATTCTGGTCTTCCTCTTTTCCATTGCCTTCCCAGAGGAAGTACTGGGACTGGAGAGCCAGGTCAGTGCCAGCTGGGCCACCCCCGTCTTGACCTCCAGATGATACTTGGCCAGTCCACAGTCCTGGACAAGCAGGCATGCCCACTCTGCCCTCTGATTCCTGCCATTTCCTGGGACCCCCTATTTTCCTAGTGCTCCAGCTCTTGCTTCTGCATGGAGCCCAGGCTGTGGACGCCAGGGCTGAGTGACACACCTACTGCGGTCACAGGCTGTATGGTGGAGACCTCCTCACACCCCCTGCACACAAGCTCACACTCATCTTCACAAGCCCTTCCCACCTCCACCCCCATGCCTTCCTGTCAGGCCCCTGCAAAACAGCCTCTTAATAGGACACAGCTGGACCTGTTGACCCAGCACTTCCGGGCCCCTCCCTTCTCTGCAGGAAGTGTGGTCTCCTCAGTCTGGACTTCTGGGTCCTATCACCCATCCATTGTCCTGTGTTCTTCAACAGGGCTCATCCAGGCTCCACTGTCCCTTCCCTACCTTCAAGCTGGTCCTTACAACAAATACCTTGGATGCTTCTAGAAGGGGTGTCACTCCTGGGCAACGTCACAGAGACTCTTAACACGCAGGGGCACTGTTCTTCCTTCCTGGGTTTGTTGGTGCCAGCTCTGTGTGATTAGGGTTTCCAGCCTGCAGGTTCAGGGAGAGACTTGGTTCCACGGGGAGAATGAGTGCAAACAACTCATAGCCTAGCCTAGGCTCCGAGGGCCCAAGAGGTCTCCTGCCCAGCTCTGTATAGGGAGGGGGTCTTGTGGGAGGGGGTGTCTTGGTTCCCCGGTCCAAATCTCTTAAACCAGCACAGGGAGGGACAATAGGAAGTAGTTTAGTTTTGCTGTTTATTGAGTCTAGAATCCTCTTCCTCTCCCCACCCTGACATGGTAACACATCCTAGGGGTGAGAGTACAGACTGTTGTATTGGGAGGAATACAAAGGAACCTTCTGGAAATCTTCCATGTCATCATTGTCCATAGTCGTATAATGCAAACCACATAGTAATTTAGAATTTTCTAATGCCCACATTAAAATTGATTTTAATAAGTTGTACTTAATCGTACCTAAGATAATATTTCAACATATAAATATAATATATAATGAACTATTTTGTTATTGTATATATATGTAATGTATTATGCATATATTATATATAATAGAAAAAAATTATTCCTTTCTGTACAGACCATCTGTGTTTAAGAGCCAATAGCTGCAGCACGGGCAGCACAGGTCTCTTAGTCTGCGTGGTAGATACGGGAGTACAGACTTGTAAAGATGTGGTCAGGGTGCATTGCACTGCCTGACAGTTAAGAATTTTGGAAGGGTTTTTGTTGTAATTGTTGTTGGTGGTGGTGGGTGGGGTTTTTGTGTGTGTGTGTGTCCTTACTGAGGCTTGAACTCAGAGCCTGGGCCCAGTCCCTGACTTTTTTGCTCAAGGTTAGGACTCTACCACTTGAGCTACAGCTCCATTTTTATTTTATTTTTTTTGCAGGAAGGGAGCTAATAGGAGTCTCAAAGAACTGGCCGGGCCAGCTTCAAACTGAGATCCTCAGTGCTCAGTTTCCTGGGTAGCTAGGATTACAGGTGTGAGCCACCGGCACTTAATTGGCACTTGGCCAATTAAGAAGTTTTAAAAGTGTTCTTCTTAGCCAGGCACCTGTGGCTCATGCCTTTAATCCTAGCTACTTGGAGACTGAGATCTGAAGATTGAGATTCAAAGGCAAGCCTGGGAAAGAAAGTCTGTGAGACTCTTATCTCCAATTAACCAACCCCACCCCAAGAAAAGCTGGAAGTGGAGGTGTGGCTCAAGTAGTAGAGCGCCATTTTTGAACAAGACAGCTTCATGGACAGTTGCTCAGGCCCTGAGTTCAAGCCCCCCCCCACACACACACGTGCCCTTCTTCCAGGCTCTACTCAATGCCACCTGTGCATTCCTGAACTACCTCTGGCACTGCATTCCCAATCTAGTCCTTCTTTATGCTGTTCCATCTGCTTTCTGATGACCACCATAAGACAAGGTATTCCTTCTGTATTCCCTGACCCTCTTGGCTGGGCACACATAGAATAAGTAAGCACAGGGAGCTGAATTTCATCGCTTTGTTGCACCCCCTCACTCAGCCAGTTGCCGGACGAGCTGGTCATTTGATCTTGTTTCTCAGTCCTATTCTAGATGTTGGCAAAGGAGAAGGAGAGGAAGAGAAAGAGGAAGACGGCACGGGGCTCCCTCGGTCATCCACCTTGAAGAGCCCCCGGCCTCACCGAGGTATCAGCATCCTGGAGAAGCTAGTGAAAACCTGTCCCGTGTGGCTGCAGCTGAGGCTGAGCCAGGAGGAGGCAGCCAGGATCCTGCAGCGGGAGGCGGCTGGGGTGAGTGCGCTCTCCTCCCCTGCAGCTGCCAGGGGCTCCCATGCGCCTCGTAAGGAAGCAGCTGCCTCCACAGCACTAACTGTCTGCTTTCTTTTCCCTCCTCGATCTGCAACTTAGCCACAGTATTTTCCCAGAATCAACAGTGGCAACTGTGGGCCAACTGGTTTCTGCTTGGGGAACAGGGATGGTTTGATAAGGGCTTTCTTGGCGTCTGGCACCTAGGAGGTAAGACTGGTGCTGTGAGGAGGCCCATGCCAGCCTGCTCTGGCTTGGAGAGCTGGGTCTGGTGTTGGAGACCACAGAATGTCAGAGCCAACATGGTTTAGACCCACCAATAATACTTAACACAGGTTAGAGGTGGTATGGTAGACAGAAATGTTTGGGGAATGAATGGTCATTCTTTTATGCAACTACTTTAAGAGAATAAAAGTATAATTTTAAAATGCTTTGGAGTCAGGCTATGGATTCTGGGTTCAAGTCTTCTGAGCCTTATTTTGGTCACATAATGGGGCTTTAACACCCCTCCCAGGAGTGCCTACGCTCCTAGAAAGAGACTTGGATGGATAAAGAGATGGGTAGACAGACGATGGATAAGTAAAAGATGGATGGTGATAGATAGGATGGATGTAGGTGGATGATAGACAGACAGATCGATGATAGACATAACAAATAGATGGGAAAAAATAGATGATCGATGATAAAACATGAACCAGAGCTCCTCATGTGTTACTTTCATCCCCATACACATTTTCTTTTATGTTATTCCCTTTCCTAAAGAGCAATTTAATTTGCTTAATTATAAAAGTGGTGCATCTATATGTTCATTACCCAAGCTGGACAGAAGTGAATAAGTCTCATAAATGTCATTTCCACCTACTGTAACCCAGCCCACTTCCCAGAAGGCTTATTTTTAAAACTGAGATGAAATTTGCATCACAGAAAAACAACACTTCACATGTTTATGGTGGTGGCATTTTTGTACCATCACGGCGTTGAGCAGACGCCACCTCCTCCAGTTCCAGGGCCGTTTCTTTCTCCAAAAGAAAGCCTCCTCTCCATTAGTCCATGCTGCCCACTTTGCCACTGCGCTTGGGACGTACCCCCTGTGTGCTGGGCTTGCTTGGGACGTACCCCCTGTGTTCCGGGCTTGCTTCTTGTCCTGCTTGTGAGCTAGCCCAGGTATGCCCACAGCACCCCTATGACCAAGGTCTCGCTGCAGAGGCACTCAGTGAGCCACTGGCAGAGCTGGGACTTGACCCTCAGCTGTCTGGGTGCTCCCGTACCCTAGTGCACACTGTGTCTGGTTTGACACTTGGACTCCTGTCTCCCACCTGCTCTCCCCTAGGTGCTGGTTTATCCTGCGAGGAGCCCATGATCAGATATGTGTGGGGGTTCTAGGTGCAGGGCAGACTCGTTCACCCCAGACTAGGTTAAATTCTTTGAGTTGGAAGTTGTACCTGCAACCTGGAATAACTGAAACGCTTGGGTCTCTGGCAAAGTCCCAGCCTCCCCTGGCACAGAGTCTGGCCATGGAGCTTGGGGCTGGAAGGGGAAAGGTGGCACGAGGCCTCCTGGGTAAAGGCAGACAGTTGTCTTGGGCCAAGCTGGCTGCTAGGTCAGTTTTCTGGAGGGGTGAGTGGCAGGAAGGAAGGGGAGGCAAGGGTGTAGTAAGGAGAGAAGCCTTGCTGTTGATGCTATTGCCAGAGCTTTGCAGGAAGGGAGGCTTCGGATGGTGAGTTGGTGCCTTATTCATAGAATGGACTTAACACAAACTAAGATGGCTGTGCTCAGTTTTATTGGATCTGCACAGCCAGTATCCTCAGCAGGCCCAGGTGGCAGTCCAGCCAGCTATTACTCCTCTGGGAGGTTCTGAGGGGATGCTTATCCCCTGCCATCTAGAAACAGGCCCAAGAAGCAGGCCAGCTTTCCTTGGCCATATGAAGGTATGTGTCTAGACTCTGTGTGGGGGTGGGTCTGGGCCAGTGAGGAGCATTCAGGGGCCCTGGGACAAGCTGGGGTGTATGTGAGTTGTGATCACTTAGTCAAAGGTACAGTCCTTGGGCTGGGAGGGAGGTCAGGTCTGCTGAGACCACATGACTAGTGAATTGCTGGGCTGAAATTGGAGTTTGGTCTTAGCTAGGCCAAACAGCTCTCCACAAGGGAGCCAGCCACGGGAAAGAAATGGAAATGAAGTTGGACCTCCATATCAGCACCCACAAATCCAGCCAACCATGGATGGGAAATATTTGAAGGAGATTGCATATGTGCTTGCATGTGTAGAGATTTTATTCTTTAAACAGCATAACAACTGTTTATGCAGCAGTTACGTGGGTTTTTTAGATATTGAGTCTACAAGAGGATGTCATTTATGTCCAAATATAGTTGCGTTGCTTAATGACAGAGCTGTGCTGAACAATGCATCACTGGGCTTCTTTGTTACCATTGTACCAACATGATAGAGTGTATTTACACAGATCAAGATGGATACCATGTGCAATTTTATTTCATCCTCACAGGTAGATGTAATTAATGTCCCCAATTCCAGGTCAGAGATGGTCACTCACTTACCTGAAGTCAGGTTTTGCTGTGTAGGAGCCTTTCTACAAAACTGTGGAATTCCCATCGGGGCCATGACATCATCATTTTGAAAGATACAGGACCCTGGGAGACCTGAGCTATGACAGCACGTGGTACCTGGAGAGGCAGAGCAGGCCTTGAACCAGTGGCCTTGACCACATCCCACCTCCTTCCCCAGTCCCTGCCTCCCTTCCCTGCAGCCTGTTCTCCGATAAGGATGTGGGAACACAGGAGCATTTAAAAAAATTGTATGTATCTAGCAACAAGGTCATCAAATGCTACCTTTGTTTGATTTGCTAAATTTTTAGGCTATTTCTAGCATAATAGAGAAGCTGCAAAGACAGAGCAGAGTGTTTTTTCCCTGACCTTCACGTGCAGCCTCTCCTGGACTTTCCTGCCCCCACTAGCTTTGAATCTGGGCGAACAAATCATCAAACTAAGCAACTGTGGCCTCCAGTCATTGAACTTCCTTGGTCCCTGGAGTTAACCGAAGCCTACTTCCTTCAGATGCCCTCAGATTTGACCTAATGCCCTGTTTATCTCCCCCACCTCCTCCCAACTCCATCTCGGACACACATTCCACGAAGTCATCGTGTCTCCTTGGCTTCCTCTGCGTTGGGACAGTTTCTCAGACTTTCCCTCTTCTCTGTCACCTCTGTTCAAGGAGGAGCAGCCAGGCTCGGTAGGATTTGTGCAGTGGTTTGGATGGGTTTGGATGGACTCACAGAAGGACCTACAGCTGAGGGCCATTCTAGTCATATGGGATGGAGGGTACTAGTGTCAAAACAGCTTTCCCAGGAGGTGCTGGGCTTGCTCAACTGCTGAGCTGCCGCTCGTGGGGTTTTCCACCTTGTCGTTTACCTTTTCCTCCTCCTTCCATGATGGCCTCCCAACAGGATGCCAGATGGCCAGGCCAAGGGTTCGTGATGGGACAGACACAAATGATTCTCATATGCTGCTTCTTTCCTCCTCTCCCTCCTTCTTCTCCCCCTCCTCCTTCTGTATGTGTGTATGTGCATGTCAGACCTGGGGCTTGAAGTCAGGGTTTGGGCACTGTTCCTGAGTTTTAGTGCTCAAGGCTAGCACTCCACCACTCTAAGCCACAGCTCCACTTCTGGTTTTTGGTGGTTAATTGGATAATTGGAGATAAATCTCATGGACTTTTCTTGCCCCAGCTGGCTTCTGAGATCTGAGATCTGAGACTCCTGAGCAGCTAGGATGACAGACCCACCAGTGTCTAGCTCTCATATGCTTCTTAATGGATGCTCTGGGCTGTCTGCCTGTATTGATCATTTTGTGTGATCCATACGGGGTCCCTCCTGTATGAGACCCTGCTTAGCCTCCCCCTACCCCAGGAGGAATGGCAGGTTTTACCCTGTCTCCTGGGTTAGATAGCCACCTAAGTGACTTGAGATTCATTCTTCTGCTTAAGGCATCTGTCTCTTCTTCTTCACCTGTTTATTTATCCAGTCACTTGCTGGCATCACCATGGAACTGTGGATTCTTACTTGACACTTTGGGTTATAATACTATTCTACTTTGTGTGGTTGTTTAAGTTGCTCTATCTTTGATCACTGGGAATCTTTCAAGTGGCTTGCCAGTGAGTGTGCATGTACGTGTGTGTATGCGAATGTGTGTGTGTCTGGGCCTTTGTTTGTAGATTGATGTGAGTACCTTGTCTTTCTACCAGCCCTAGTCTGGGAGTCAGCCACTTTTCCAAGGACAGTTGTTTCCTTTTATTGGAGAATAGTCTTATGAAATGTGTTAGTCAGACTTTTTGTTACTATGGCAAATGCCTAAGAGAAACAATAAAGTGGAAAGATTTGTGTGTGTGTGTATGCTAGTATTGGGGTGCTAGTATTGGGGCTGGGTGCTGCTTCTGAGCTTTTTTTGTGCTCAAGGCTAGCACTCTACCACTTGGGCTACAGCTTTACTGCTGGCTTTTTGGTGGTTAGTTGAAGATAAGAGTCCCCTGGACTTCCTTGTCCCAGCCGGCTTTGAACCTTAATCCTCATATCTCAGCCTCCTGAGTAACTCGGATTCTAGCATGAACCACCGGTGCCCAGTGGAGAGATTTACATTGGTTCATAGTCTCACAGGTTTCAATCCATGGTCAGCAGGCTGCATTGCTTTTGGGCCTGTGTGAGACAGAGCGTGGGGGAAAGGCTGGCAGAGGAAAACTACTCGCCTCCTGGCAGCCAGGAAGCAGATCGGAGTTAAGAGGTAGGCGGGAAAGCCAAGACACACCCTGCAAGGGCGCCCCAGCTGCCCACTCCCTCCAACCAGGCCTCCCAACAGTCTTAGCTCAGAGCCCTCATATGTGATACCTTCGGAAACACCCTCATAGACACCTCCTCCCCTCCCCAAGCTGTGCTGTGTTAATCTCCCGATGCCCAGCATGCAGGAGGCTCACAGTCTCCTTC